CCCCCTTCCCCCGCCCGCCCGCCGGGCCTGGTGGAGCCCCAGCCGCCCGCCCTCCCCGCCGCTTCCTCCCGGGGCTGCGCCGCGCTGGGCGGGGGCTCCGGCCGGCCCGCGGCCGCGCTCGGGGTAGCCTGCCGCCGCGGAGCGCGCGTGGCCGTCGGGAGTTGAGATGGGCTCGAAACTCTTGTACAACTCCATTTTGCCTCTCCGCGTTTAATGCGGATCGTTCATCGCGGCTTCACGCCGGGTGGAGACAGGCTTGGGGTGGGTTTTCTGTCTTCCGTGGCGTGTTCCTGGAGACCGTGTAAGTAGAAGATTGTTTTGAAGTCGTAGCGGTTGTGATTGTACGGGGGAAGGTATTATCCAAGTGAAAAGAAAAAAAAAAAAAACATTTTGAAGATAGTCTGGCGAGGTTGCATCAGGATAGATGCATTTCTACTTAGAGTTACAACTTTAAGGATCACTTGCTGATGGGTTCCCCTTTCAGGTGGTTTTCATGAAATTGCACTTTTTTGCACCCAAATGGATTTTTTAAAAATTCATGTTTAGTAGCCTATAGTGGAAAATAGGCACAATTTTTTCCCCCATTCTTTGGTTCTGTTTGTATATTCTAATAGTCCTCAGTAAAACTTCTGACCTTGGTTGGTTATTTATTTGGTTCTTTCTGTCTTCTGACATTTCTTTTGAAACAAGCGTTTATTGCAGGTTATATATAATTGTGTGTGAGATGTGCATGCACACACACACGCAAAAATCAGGTTGTAGTCCCGTGCAAACCTGGAAGGGGGAAAACTCGTATTTTAGGATGCTGTAAGGTGAGACTTTTCAGCCACTTAGTGATATTCCAAATATGTAATCACCATGTGGATGGTTTTTCAGCTTCCACATGGCTAGTTTGGTAGTGATACTATTTTGAGCATTTAACACAAGTATCATTGTTAAACTAAAAATATAAGGCTAGGTCTTAATATTGAAGGCTCTCTTTGAGAAGTTGTTTTGAGGATTTGTCTACTTATGTGGAACAGTGATTTTTCTTAGGGACATAAACTATTTGAAGCTTTTTTTTTTTTTTTTCTTTCTGTTTTCTCTTTGGTGTTGGGAACTGAGCTCGGGGCTTTGGAGCATAGTGAGCAGGTTCTGTATCACTGAGCCTCACTCCAGCCCTACAGCTAACTTGGTCAAAGTCTAGTGCTCAACCTACGTAGCCTCTACGTAAAGATTTACTGGGAGAGAATGGGAATATGTCTAACCTATTTATTTATTTATTTATTTATTTTTTAAATGTAGTGTTTTAGACTGGAAAAAACACTTTAGGATTTACAAACCAATTCCGTTTGTAGGTGTGGAAACTGAGCTCAGGTTTTTTTGTTTTTTTTTTTTTTCCTTCTTCTTTTAAAGAGAGAACAATGGGTGTAATACTAACAGAACCACCAGCCTAAGACTTAAAAAAAAAAATGGACACCAGGGCAGACTTGAGACTTAGAGCTTGATTTGTAGATAAAGCTGTCCTCTAATTTTTATAGTGCTCCCCATTCTGCCTCTTGATCAGTGCTGGGATCGCTGGGTGTGTGCCACCATTCCTGCTGAGGCTGAAAATGTGTGAAAGTCTATAGACTATAAACTCTTTTTTCTGTGAGGCATCCTCCATGCACTTTCAGTTAAGTCGGGGGTTCCAGGCTGCCCTCTGTTCTTTACCGTGCAGACTGTGCATATTTTCGGAGGATCTGGTCAATCCGTTTGCCAAAGTTTTAACTTTTTGTACATAGTTCCTTTCTGGCTAGGCCTCGCCTTTGAGTGTGTTAGTTTTCTTGAGGACCCAGCTTCTGGGAGTTTACTGTTAGCAAAGACAACATGATGAGGTCCAGCAAGAATGTTTCAGGCACCTGTAGGCCCTTTAACTCCATTTTAAGTGAACAGTTGAGAATCTGCGTGCATCAGGCCTGCACATGTGTGAGTGCTTTTGTTGGAGTGTTTTCATTAGTCTTTTTTCCTACCCTGCTTGTCATTAACTCTTTTTTTTTTTTTAAAGATTTTTATTTATTTTATGTGTATGAGGAGTGTTCTATCTGTATGTACACCTGCATAAGAGGGCATCAGATCGCAGTATAGATGATTGTGAGCCACCTTGTGGTTGCTGGGAATTGAACTCAGGACCTCTGGAAGAAGAGACAATGCTTTTAACCACTGAGCCATTTCTCCAGCCCCCATCATTAACTGTTTTTACAAGTCCAACCTGATCTATCAGGGTTGTAAGTTATTAGAGTGTAGAAACAGATTATCAGATGTTTCTTAGTCCATGGAGTGGAGTTAAAGTACTAAGAAAAGGCTGAGCACTAAGCTGGTGTTTTGACTGGTCCTCAGAGAGCCAGGAGATGAGTTAACTTTGTTGAAAGACTAGTATAAGATGAGTGGATTTCAATAGACAGTACACTTGCTTCCGTTGCATTATTGCTACTGGCAGTGATGACAAGTTGTGCATAAATGCACAATTGGAAGGTGAGGTGACAAACCAGTAATTAAAGCACTCCAGGAGGTAGGCGGATTGCTGATTTGAGTCCAGCCTGGGCTATAAATATTAAAAAAAAAATCCTGTCTCCAAAAACAGGTTCCTGATAATGTCCTTTCCTGTTAATGCTCCTATCCATTGGAATTCCGTTGGTACACTGAAGCATTGATAACTAGCCCTGTGTTACTTGTCTGTTTTTTGTGGTACTGGGAATGGAGCCCACCTTTGATGCAGTCAAGCATTCTGCTGAGCTGTACTATAGGTCTCTGTGTTTTAACTAACTGGTTGATTACTTTTCAGCCTGAGGCTTGAACCCAGAGCACTATGCATGCCACACTACACTCTGCTACTGCAGTATACCCTTAGCTAACAAGATTTTACTTTAGTTTTGAGATGGACGTACTGCATTGCCAGGGTATGATCATGGACTCACCTGCGGCCTAGCCTGATCTTAAACTGTCAGCTCTCCTCAGCCAGTAACTGGCATTAAAGGAATATGCCATTAGGCCCAACTCAACTGCATTTTACCTATCTTCTTACCTATCTACCTGCCTATTTATTTTGAGACAGAGTTTCACTAGGTGAGGCTAGCCCGGAAACTTAACTGTGTGTAGCCTAGGCTGGCCTTGAACTACAGTGGGTCTCTCTTAGTTTAGGCCTCCTGAGTGCTGGGGTTGCTGGTGTGAGCCACCATGCCTAGCTTGTAATATTTAAGTGTGCATCTTACTGTTAGTGTTTTGGTGACATTAGATATTTCTGACAAATTTCGAAAGTAATCTGAAGTTAGTAATTATAGTAAAATCTTTCTCTTTTATTTACTTTTTTCTCTTTTAGTTATTTTTTTATTTTATAATTTATTGACTTTACATCTGGATTGTAACACCCTTCCTCATCTCCTTCTGGTCCCAACCTCTGTAAAAATCCCTATTTCAAGTGACTTCTTATTTGGTTTCTGAGACAGTCTTGAATGTAACTTAGAACTGGCTTAGAACTCTGTGTAGTCCAGGCTGGCCTCACAATTGAGCAGTCTGCCTGCTTCAGTCTCCCTGGTGCAGGAGTTACAGGTGTGAGCTACCATTTTTTGACTCATTTTAACCTGTGGTGCTGTAGTATTTAAGTGAAGGTTTGTATATTCATAGGCTTGCAAACCATGTGACTGAAGACAAGCTACACAGCAAAGTTGCTTATTCTGGGTGTTGGTTTCAGTTTATTGGTGTTTGCTTTATAAGAATTTGAATGTACTTAAAATTTTTCTTTTGACTGTGTCTTTTCAATACTAAGTGATCAAAGTATGAAATACAGATTGTTAAATTGTAACTAATATTCAGTTCATACCAAACTGAACTTGATTTGAGGAGAGGGGTTGGGGTATCTTTTATGTTTGTCGAGACAGGGTTTATCTGTGTGGCCTTGGCTGTAGACCGACCAGGCTGGCCTCGAACTCACGGAGATCCACCTGTCTTCTGAGCGCTGGGAGGCTTGCACCACCATGCTGGGCCTTGGTTGGGGTATCTTTTGAGAAAGGTTCTTGTTAGTAGAGCTAGGTTGAGGTTAAATTAATGTTAGTCCTTTGCTTCCACCTCCCAAGTCCTGATAATACAAGCATCTGTCATCACAACCATCCCCTCATTGGGATAGGTAGAGAAAATATATTCAGGTTTATTTATGATAGTATCTTCAAGTGCAAGTAAGAGGAGAAGAAGCAGCTAATGAAATATTCTTTTGGGAGGGGTGTTTGTTTTGATTTTGAGATAGGATTTCTCTGTGTAGGCCTGTATGTCCTGGGACTCTCTTTGTAGATCAGGTTGGTTTATAGAGATCCCCCTGCCTCTGCCTTCCGAGTGCTGCATACTCACCAAGTTTTGTTTTGTTTTGTTGTTGTGGACCAGGCTGGCCTCAAACTCAAAGAGATTCACTTGTCTCTGCCTCCTGGAGTGCAGGGATTACAGGTGTGCCCAGCTTTG